AGCAATTTGCTGTTACTTTTTGTCGACAAGCTTTGGCAACAAAATCGAAGCCTAATGCGGACACAGTTGATGCCAATTTGTTGAATAGTTTTGCTTAAAATTGCTGACAATTTGCTGGCAAATTGCGAACAAATTGTTTACTGGGTATACTATGCTTAGATTTTAATAAACTATAAAACAATCAATTTAATTACAATTTGCAGTGAATAACAATGACTTTTAATTGGAGTGTAAAAAACCTTACGTGACCACTTATGCAATATATATATATATATATATATATTTTAACACATAATATACAATCTTAGATATCTTATATTACATATGTATGTATATACTTACTGTGTTTTATCATGTCATTGAAATTGATTATTATTATAAGAAAATGGTATGTATTTTAATTGTCTTGTTTCTTTTTAGAAATATTTTTTACTAAAAATTAGAGGCAATAATTTAAGAGGTACTATTCATCGCACTTTTTGTCAAAAATATTTACAAATGAATGTGCAATAAGTTGTTCTTGGAAAGGAATAAAAAAAAATTTTATAGTCATAAACTTATATTTTATTAAAATTGTGCGAGATATGTTCTACATGTATTTATTATTCAAAATTTGTTGTTATACACGTCATTTTACTGACTCTATATTTTTCTTTTCAACAGACATTACTTTACAACAATCACCAATGACGGAAACGAAGTTTGATAACATTGCAGCTGAATGGCTGCGGTTTGCTAAGCAAAGAAAAAAAAGAGAAGTAAAAGGAAAGGATACAATAGAATGTGAGCAAAACAATAATGAAGAACATTAATTTATTGTGATATAAAAATAATTGTAATATAAAAATAATATGTGTTCTAAAGTTAGAAATATGTAACTATTCAAAAATATATATTCTAAAGTTATAAATATGTAAAAATGTATATATATATTCTGAAGTTAAAAATACTTAACTATTCAATAAAAAATAACAGTTACATAACAATTCAATAAATTTTCATTATTGTTCTATAACCCATATCTTGATTTTTATATAGGATATATAACCATTCTGTAATTTCTTCTACGCTTACATTACATGTTATTTCTGCATTATATTTGCGTTATATAACTGTTATTTATTAGTAGGAAATTACCACTAATGTCTATATAACCTGCTACATTCATAGTATATTGCGTGTTATATTTTGTTTTATTACAGCAATGTAACTGTTGTATATCTGTGTTTGCTGGAAATGTTAAAATCATTGAACTTTCTATGATGTTTGTAATAATAGTTTATATACAAGTATGTAAATAACTTTATTTATTTATGTAAAATTAATACAACACATAATGGGACAAAATTTTTTGTTTTTTGATTACATCTTTTTATGATTAAATCTTGATCTTTGTAAGTACAATACTTGTTAGTGTAACGTTATCGGATAAAAATATCAAATATTGCTGCATGTTTCCTAATTGTAAGTAGAAATGTTTAAGTAAAATCTAAACAAAAAACATTTTCAAAAGGTGCCTTTGACAAACCTTGTAAGAATTATATGAACTTTTATTTATTAAAAAAAGACTCTTTCAAATCAATTGTACAATTTTGACGAAAAATTAATTTAAACAAAAACATTAAACAAAGTGTTGTCATTCTGCTTCTCATTCTGTGCGTCGGAGCTATATGCGCGATTATACTCTCTCTTATCAAATGCCATTAAAGCAACAAAATATTTCTATTCTGACTCTGAAGCAGAGAAATTTCTCAAATAACATACAAAATTCCAGTTTCTTTAGAAAAGAGGCTATGCGTAAAGACTTGAATTGTGAATAGCTTACTGTTGAATTTAAATGGCATATGTTCTTAGTAGGCTCCGAACAATGGCTTTATTCAGTATATGATATATGAGCAGTGGTTCTCCACAAAGAGAGTGAGAAAATGTTAGATTATAGATATTTTGAAAGCAATTATAAAATTGAGTTAGGTAACTACTTTGATTTGCACACATACTATTGTGTACTAAATTTTTTTCAATTGTAATAATATTTTATATTTTATAAGTCAGAAAATATGGAATTTAAAAACTTTATATACGAAACAATCTGAAATATTTTTTCTAATATAATATCACAATAATCTTACAAAAGGAGTCTAAAAGAACGGATTAAGTATGACATTAAATAGTAACTAGATAGACAATATGTAATTTTTCTGAATTGATTTTAATCAAATAAATATAATAGCTTTTGTTATTATAATAGAACACAACAATCAAAAAATTATATTATTTGTTGGTCAAAATTGATTTTTAAAAATTATTATATGTGTGTGAGATAGTTATTTAGTATATATTTATTTTTATTAATATTTTGTTTTAATAGTCCAGACGCTTCTAACTGTACCAAGAAGAAAACGCATTATTAATAAGTAAGATAAAGCCAAATAATTCGCGTGACATAAAAAGGTAGATTCGATTTTTGTAATATACTACATGAGGATAAATTCAGTGACAACAAACATTTAAAGTGACATATAAGTAGTCTCTACTATGATGCTAAAGAATTATTCTTAAACATATGTATATTGACAACGCCTATGTCTGACCATACTTAAAGATCTAGTATTCAAATGATGTCAGAACAGTATGTCACAATGTTATCGTTGATAAGTTTTATTCTTTTTTGTACGTAATGTTTTTGAGAACTCGTCAAAGTATTATCATTTACGGCATTGATGATTTTATTGTTGCTCAAACATGTCTTTCCATCGAGTCATTTTTTCAAATTCAAAATAAGTGAAAATAAATGGAAATTGCACGATCTTATATAAAATGGCAAATAAGGCAGATGAGGCAGCACTTCGAAGTCCAGCGTAAATTTTGGCCATTGTAACAGTCAAAATGTAAGCTAGTGCATTGTCAAAAATTACTGAAAGCATTTATTTTAACAAGTTGTTACTACACACAAACACTATGCAATAACAAACCAACATTTGACATTTGTTTTTCTGAAAAATGAAATTTGTTAACAACAATAGTAATGTGATACTACTATGGTTATCTATGCGTTGTTTCAGAAAACATTGTTTTCTTATCAATCGGTTCTCGTATATTTGATGGTTCTGTACGCGATATCGCATTTTTTCCTAACAATTCCTTTGCTGAGTCTGTTGGACTTTGATCTTATCTAAAATCATTCAGAAGAGCTCGACAAGCGACGACCAAACACATTGTTATTGCTACGGTGGGGATGAAAGAAGAGAGTAGGGTAAGTTTACTTGTGAGAGCCACTTTTCGATTGTTTGGTGCCCTTTATAACCGTTGCAGCTGCCTGCAAAGGTAAGTCACAATCATCTTTGCTGATCAAAATCGAGAAAATAGTTCAGAGCTCACTAGTTGTTCTTTGACCGGCGTGTCAGTTAGTATATTTATTATTACAAGTGTGGTATATTTATTATCTCATATACACATATATGACGATTATAACTGTACAATAATAAAAAATTTCTATTTTTATTAACATAAATATATTCAGTATTTTTACAAAGATAAATAATATATCTTAAGAAATTGTGTATTATGTTTGTGCTTAGTGAAATGAATTTACTGATTTTATGCAAATAAACGTAAAAATACATGCATATCGTCTGTAGTAATTTATGTTGCGCGTTTCGAGGATTATATCTACCACGTATTTCAAAAAGATGTAACTGTGCGAGACAGGTATGTATACATATGTATATAATCATCTTTTTAAGTGATTTTAATGATGAACCGATTCACGAAGATTCAAAACAACATGTGTAACTTGTTATTTTTTGATCAAACATGCTACAAAATATAATTGATAAACAAAATAAATATACCATATTGATTAATAAAATATCTACTGAAAATTATAATAAAATAAAAAATAATTTGCGCTGTTAAGAAGTGATGATAGTTTTTATTTAAACTAAACACGACAAGTAAATGCTATTATAGCTTTGTATCTCTTACACTTATAACTTGGAATTGACAAAGTTATATACATTTGACAACAGTTCATGCTACGCAAAGTAAATCGTATAAAAAATTAAAGAATCATTAATCATTATTGTGAAAAAAATAGTAATATTAACATTTAACAAAATTAAGTGATTTGGCAGGCTATATTGGGAGTATGAAGTACAGATGATGATGTGTTGTAAAATTTAAATTATTCGTTGTATGTAAACGTTCCGACTTTAAAATTAGGTCCTTCTTAATACAAGTGTAAAGTTCTATAATAGTACTTTTCTTCTTGTAAAAACAGGGTCGTTGACATGTCATTTCCACAACGAGCCTTGATTGACATGTCGTCACGACTTTGCCTGTATATGAACTAACTGCATTATAGAACTTTACATTTATATTGAGAAGAACCTAATCCAAAGGTCGCAACGTTTACATATAACAAATAAATTCAAATTTTATACATCACTATCTGTGCTTTATGTTTCCATTAACATATCAAATCACTTAATTTCAAATTCTGAAGCAATTCACATGTCACTTTCGATTCGAATATTTGGAATTTTCGAATACAGACTTTACATGCCGTTTTACGAATTATTATTTATATGTGTTCCAATGTTTTGATGAATACACGTAATGAACTACAGATTTTTGTAATACTGCGTTGAATATCAGAAAATAAAAGTTTTAATTACCTTTATTTAGCTAACACTTTTTAAATATTTTAATAAGTTTTCATAAAATATAGAAAAAATGATCTACCAAGTATTTTAAAAATAAAAACAACAGTTGTTAAAAAATAAAAAGTAAACCTAATTCACAATGCGTTGAAAGATTAAAAATGTAAATAACAATCTCTCTCTTTCACATTCATATATAATAGTATATAATATGTAGGTTTATTTCTGGCATATTATACACAATAAACATCTTTTCCTGTATCACTAAGTATCGGCAGAGCACTGATAGCCAAGATTTCTTTTGCGCAGATCGACAGTTGCACAGATTCTGTTTGCCTAGATCTCGTTTGCACAGAAAATTTTTGCGCAGATCCGATTGCGCATAGTTGCGTTATTATTACATTTGCGAAGTAAATATTTCGCTTATATCACACACTATAGTACATATGTGGGCGGGGGAGAGGCTCTGCCTTTTCTCTTGCACACCCCGAAAAAATCTAATCCAACCTAATCTATAATATGTTTGTGCAATAACGACTATGCGCACAAATTTTCAGTGCAAACGGCATCTAGGCAAACGGAACTTGTGCAACCGTCGATCTGCGCGAAAGAAATCTTGGCTATCGGGATCCTCTTCTACTCCTAAGTATCATTTTTGATACAATTCAATAAAGCACAAATATTTCTAAATAATTAACTTGTCATTTTATACTTCCATTTTAATACTATCCAATACATTAGAGTTAATATGTTACAATTTATAATATTGTACAATTTATAATACACTCGAAAAATAGTATTAAATTGTACTTTGCGAGAAGATTGCACTTTTATGACAGAATATTTGTTTTTAAACACAGCATTATTTTAACGTCAGTGCTCTTGAATAATCTAAACAAATTAATCGGAATCTAATACTTCTATGTATTGATTTATAAATAAATCTAATATTAAATTAATCTATATGTAAATTTATGTATATATAAGCAAAAATGCAAATTTTATTTTACAATTCATATCTCGTATCTCGTATTACTTTTTTCACTATAAATAAATAATTAAGATTTTCTAAAAAAGAAGAAGGAGTTTCTTTTTATGGTAATCCAGATACACATGTCTAAAAGATGACACATTTAAAAATAAATAAATTATTAATAATTAATAGTTAATATTAATAACCAATATATATATTATAGCTGTACTTATGAAAATTTTTTATGTAAGGAAACAACTATTAGTTACAACTATTCATAGTAATTGAGTTTTATTTTGCCCTGAATGATCAAATTTAGTTTTAAAATATTTTAAAAAATCTAGAGATTATTTGTTTTTCTGTTTTTTTGTATTGTTATTAGTAGTTTATTCGTGAGATATAAACCGACGACATACAATTTTGCAAGTCGGTTTTATCAATTTCTTTTTTTCTTGATGATTAATACATAACTATTTGTATAAATCTTCAAATATCCAGGGCAAACAAAATGGTAAGTGTGTACATTAAAAATGCAAAACAAAGTAGACAATAACAAATAGAATTACAAAAAGTAGCTTAGCTTCTATTTATATAGCTTCTATTTATATAAATTAAATCTATAATTTATATAAATTTAGCTTCTAATTATATAAATTATAGGAAATGTTGAATATTGAAAATCTCAAAAATCAATAACAAACACAAAGTTAAACGTGGAGAATAAGGGAAATTGGGAAAGAAATATATTAAGATGAAAATCCTTTATGGAAGAGAAATATATGATACTGAGATGAAAAAGAAGAATGAGAAAAGAGTTAAAGTTAGATAAAGAGACTTATAGTGTATGTAGATACTTAGTGAAGAACGAAGCTCGTCAGTCTACTGAACGTCTGCCGGAGTAACAGGAGCGGTTTAACTATCACGTTGATTGCGATAACAGTGGTACTCACGATAAGTGTTAATAATCATATGGAATGAAGAGAAAGGCATAAAATGTGTAGCTACATATAATTTAATGTCAATCTTCAAACACAGTCCATTAATAACAGAATATTATCAATAGCAATGTATATATAAAAATTAAAAATAAGTATTTATAACAAAATATAAGTGCTTCAAAACAGTGCAAAAATATTACAGATTTTATATATTAAATGGTAAATAAAAATAAGTATTTATATGTGTAAAATTGAAAAGAGTACTGTGTCTCCTCTAAAAGTTAAAAAAGTTAAAAAGCAATCAAAATCTAATTATAAAAAAAAACATGGAAAGATAACTAATCTTCGAAAATATTAATTGAATGCAACAATACTATGGCGCTCACATATATTGCGTGAGTATTATAACAATTTTTATTAAGAAGTGATATGAAATGATTCAGTGAGGTTTTTTAGAAGTCAAAGTTTATGTTATCGCGTTCAATGGAGCAATATTTCAAGAAAATCACAAAACTTTATTGTTATAACTTTTTGTTAATAATGTGTTCTCAGTATGAAAACGCACATGCACAAAAAGAGAACATGGACAGAAATTAATACACGCACATGCAATAGAGAACTGAGCACACTCTGAGAAGTTCTTTTTCTTGTAGTCTCTAAAGCTTTTTTTTTTCATTATTATAGCGAGGAACTTGTGAGATAGCAAGCGTTTCGGGGATAGCATAGTAAAAACACTAATAACGTACAAAAGCATTTATTTACTGCGTAAATAAACGCAGATGGACGAAAGAAAATTAATGCATTTTTAATTATATATATATATATATATATAATATATATATAATATATTAATATATTATACTCAAACACAGTA